TCTGGGCGTAGCCCCCACTGAAATTTTCTCGCCCTCTATCCTTCATCAGTCAAAATGGCTGGAGCAAAATGGGTCAACTCAGTGAATTTTCGAGCATATTCAACCACTGATAGGTTCCCCTGAGTGAGCTACATGAACTCTAACTCCTTCTGACATCGGAGTTGTGCTGGAAAGTACTCGGCGTTGAACGCCCCTAAAAATCTCTCTCAAGTGATGGGAACAGATAAAGTAGTCTGTTTGAATTCCTACCAACGGTCAGCTTCACCCACAAATAGGCCAGAATCACTTTCTATTCAGAAGTCACCCCTTAAACTCGGAATACCTTTTTAATTTCTTTCAACCATCCTTCAACTTCAATAAAATTCTTAATACCAGCAAATGTAAAAGGATGGGGTCTCAAGAACTTTCTATGACAGTCTGAATCCATAACGACTAGTTCTAGATTGTATGGAGCTGATATTGGAAGAGGGCCAGGTAACCCTTCTCTAGGCTGCTTAACAAACTCCTCTACCATGTGGTATAACTGGTGAATATGCTCCTATAAAGACATGTAATCGAGAGGTTGCTCTGGTGGAGTTCATCCACGTCTCATCTTATAAAATAATGTTTCCTATTTTTCAATACCCCAATAGTTGTAAAAAATATCATTTTTAGACTTTAAAACCTCATGCACAATGGATGATTCTAGGAATATGGGCTATGATATCACCTGTCATGCCCCAATGCTCGATATGAGGCACAATTCCTATTCATGTTATTTTCATGCAATGAGCTCATAAAATATATACATGCATAAATCAAAAAAATATAATACAACCTAATATCCCATATGATTTGTACAGTAACTATATATACAAAACATAAAGTCAGAAATAAGAGTCTAATAAAACAAAATAAAACTTCTTGACTATACACAAAATGTACAAAAATAAGAACCATTTTACAAGTTCTACTCGTCTGGCAGTGGTGCTGGCTCTTCATTCTCCTCTGAAAAATATCAAGGTGAAATTTAATGAGTTTCACCAACTCAATAAGTATTTCTGTTTTCTCAACCCAGATAAAATTTTATGCAAAACACATAGTAAGAAACAAAAGTAATAAAAATATTTCAGTGCAAAATTCATGTTCTTATTTTTACTATTTCACATGTTCCTACTCGATCTTATGAATTGTCTCAAATATCATATACAAATCTCAAATGTATATTCACATACTCTCGAAAGTCATAGATACCCTCGAATTTCAATCGTCATTTTAAAACATAATCACACACACACAAAAGATCACAGATACACTCAAACGTTCATTTCTATGGTTTCATCGCGCGATGCTATTTATGTCATCATCGAGGAAAGGTAAAATGGATCCTCTCATCGTATGGATAGCACACACAAATTTTACAATGACCACAACAAATACGTTTGCTAGATGACCCACACTCACAAATGCATATACACGTTTAGATTAGGTTTCAAACTCTATCCATGTGCAGGTTCACCATGCCCGCTGAACTTCAGCCACACCCACACACTCTCCTCCTCGATTCAGACTAAATGAGAAGGTATTCAGGGTCCCTATCCAATTCACTCCTACCATCTCATTCCAAAATTCTTAATTTATTTAAATGTTTCACAACCTCAATTATTTCTTTCCCATTTTATTTTTAATTTTTTATTTTATTTCTTTTTCTTTTTCAATTTTTTCCTTAGTTGAGAATTTTTCTTTTCAATTTCGTATTTCATCAGTCTAAATAACTCTCAGTCCACTAGGTTTGTTTTCTGGTTTCGTCTTCTCATAGGTTCCAATTGCTTAAGTTTACTGATCATATTTTGAGTTCTATTTTTTATCAAAAATTGGGTCAATGTCTGTTCAAATTTTAAAGTTCATAATTTACTTACTCTCCAACGCGTCTTTCTGGATCCATTTGAATGTCTAAATTTTCCTGTACACACTATATAAATTAACTAAAATACTTTGAGATACTAAAAATTAATTTAATCGAATTATGGGTTCCAACGAACGCCAATGGAATACCCAAATTTATCGGGATTCGTACCTGAAAAACCTTTCAGCTTTCTATTTGGTGAATCGGATTTTTGCTTTATAAGGATGACTTTTCAACTTTTCGGATGGCAAATCGGAATCCCAAAAGGCGATTCTGGCCTCCATTCCCGTAGAAGGAAACCTCTTCAGTACCCGCGCGAATGGGTGGCCCGACATGAGCCTGCGTGGCCAGCCCGACACCGGCCCCGTTCCACCATAGTCTAAACCATCACCCAAACTTCAGAAACAAATGATTTTACCTTCGGTGCGAGCACTTCAGCCTCAGCTTGGCTCCCGATGGTCTCCTCTCAACCACCTCGCGGCTCTCTAGCTTGTTTGAGGTTCGGATGGTGATTTCTCAAACCTACGAACCGATTAGTAAGCAAAATGAAAGAATCTAACTAAATAGGAAGAGAAGAACGAAAAAAAAGGATGAAACTTATCTTTGCTCCCGTCAGTCTCTGCATTCGCACGATGTCTCAATAGTTTTCCTTCCCTTCTTCTTTCTTTTGGCTTCAAACGCCACCATTCACCGCCTTCGCCACTCTCTCTCTTCTCTTCTTCCCCTTACTGCGACCGTTCTCGGCTCTCTCTACCTTCACCGCTCAGCCGCACCTTTTTCTTCCCTTTCTCCTTTTTTTTTTCTCATTTCCCTTTTTTCCTTTCCGACCTCTCTCTTTTTTTCCTCTCTCTTTTCTCTCCCTCGGCTTCCCCGCGCAACAACCCTCTTATTCTTTCTCTCCCCAATCGCTCCTCTCTCTTTTTTGGCTACTCTTCAAAATAAAGAGAAAACCCTAATCTTTTTCCCTTTTATATCCATTTCCCCAACCGTTAGATCTTCCTAACTTGATCTCGATCGTCTGTTCTCTTTTTAAATCTCAGTCATCTGATCTCCTTAAGTAATTCGATCTAGGCCGTCTATTTCCCTGATTTTCTTTGCCCTCTTCCACTTCCCCTTTTTTTTTTATATGTTTTTGCCATCCCCTCTTTCTCACATATTTTCATTTAAATCATAATTCTAATTTTATTTTTTATTTACATTTTTTTTTAGTTGGACATTACAAGTGTGCCTATATTTATAGACAAAATCGATAAGAAAATATTTCATTATAGATAATACGAGAGTATATTATCAAAAGGTTAACAAACCACATCAATTGAAAATAAAAAATAAAAAAATATATAATTTTCTTTAGAGAGGCCCACAATAAAGCCAAGGAAAATCCTAACACTCTGGCTCACACCCAATGTTTCATAACAAGAGCTAAATTGTCATACAATAATTTTTTTTTATCTAAATACGTTATAATTTATTAAAATAAAATTTAATTAATTATTATAATAAAATTAATATACTAATAAATTAAATTACCATCTGTACTTTGGACCAGTCTTAATTTTTATTCTCTTCTGAATAAAGATAATAAATGAAAGTCAAAAACTCTCTTCTAATTATTTAAGGTGTTGGAAAATAAAAATATATTTTGAAGATTTTATTCCGCAAGAAATACTACGTCGTATCATATGAGGAATAACAGAGACAATGATAGTTGGGGGGGCCACCCTCCTGTTCCCACACTAAATCAATCAATCAATAAATCATTTCCATCAAAAATTGCAACCCCTTTAGATTATAATTATTATTTTGTGAGCCGGGTGGAATTTGTTTATAATCAATTTATCCAATTCATTCATGTATGTAATCTAATAATAAATAAATTACATGTTATGAAATATGAAATAAACTTCATAAACTTAAATTAAATTCACATGTAAAAAGGTGCACCTTTAAGATTTTTAATGGTCCAATTTTGATGAAAATAGGTGAGCTACAAATACAGAAATGAAATCAAAGGGAGTAAATTTCTATATTGAGAAAACAGAAAGATAAGTTCAAAGGTTCACCCAAAAAAAAAAAAAAAAAATCTATATATGTGTGTGTATATGCATATATTTATTCTATTTTCATAAAGTGAAAAAAAGGTTCTTATTCCCTTCTATCCTATCAAATTCAAATTCCTCTCAAATCCCTTGTACAATTGAATTTTGTCACATTTATAAAATTAATCATTCTAAATAAAACAAGCAAAGAAAGTTAAGTTAATAATCAAACTTGGTGGTATATGATACGAAAAAAATATATAAATCAAACGAATTCAAAAGTAGAATCTGAATCTAAACACGGTTCGACAAAGAACACCTTCTACTCAATCAGTTTTAAGTTGAGAGTATAAATTGGGCACAAAAATTTACAACATCTTAATGAAGTTTGAAAATTGTTATGGCAACAGACATGAGAAAACTCGTATTACATTGTAAGTTGAGTCACTTTACTTGAAGAGTCAAGTCTCTAGCACTTGTTAGCTCAAAAGAGTTCAAAAGATATAACTCCCAAAGTCCATGTCCGTGAGTTTACAAACATATGCACAGACCCTATTAGCAAAATCTTGGCTCATAATTGCTGCACATCACATTGGCCACCATCATTTTCCAGCCACAAGATGAGACACTCAGAAATCTGAATCCTAAATCATATCATGTAAAGACAAATATGAAACAAACTATACAGTAATCAAGATATTATACTCTGGTCTAATAATACCCAAAGCAATTAAATTAATCCTTCAAGAAAAACAGCCATTTTCATGTTCTAATAGCTTCAAACACACGCTCAAATTTAGTGACAGAATGTTTAGTATAAACTCAAGAAATCAGACTCTGCCATGTGAACTTACTTCTAGATCAGAAGAATCCAAATTCAGATAAGCAACAACTATGAACTCATGAGATTAGTATTCTGCATCAGATTAAAAGCTTTCTACACCTATGAATCAGTTTGGTTTATACACAGAAAACGCCATGAAAGGAAAGCTTAACAAATCTACTATTCTACAAGAGTCAGGACCCCTATGTATTTTTACTGGAAAGAAAACAAAACATTTGCTTCCCCCTTTCCTTCAATCGCCATCACCGACGCTTTTCTCTGAACAGACTTCGTCACTACCGCCATAACCAGCTGTACTCTCCAAGCACCGAACTCTGCATCTCAACTCCTCCAATTCCTTCTCCACGAAATCCAACCTTTCCTTCAACGACAAGTTCTCCTCCTCCAATCTCGCCGCCACCCCATTACCACCACCACCACCACCACCAACACCAACACCACAACAACCGCCATCAACTGGGTATATCATCTCGAACCGACTCAGTCCATCATCACCAACATCTTCATTATGGACCAAACGGATAAGGCCACTCATGGAGCCGTACCCGTCAATGCCCCAGCGTTCTTTACCCATCTCCACGACCACCTCCTTCGTTGGGGAGAAAATCGGAGTAGGCAGCACCGCCGGTGTCCACGGCGAGAAGGAAGAAGACGAAGACACGATGCCGCCGGACTTCTTTGCCCGGATGAGGAAAGAGGTGGTGTTCCGGGGGGCCGACGGCGTCTTCGGCCTCTTATGGAAATGTCTTCCCTGAGTGAAATTCGACTTCTTCGACTTCCACGCAGCACGCTTCGGCTTCCGATTAGGAGCAGAGTCGAGTGACGGCGGAGCAGACCGTGGCACGCGGTGGGCGGAGGAAGAGTAGTGAAGTGGGAACGGGTTATCGTATTGAGGATGCCAAACGGTGTAGTTTTGATGGCGACAATCGGAGATCTGAGGCTGATAAGTTATCATCATCATTGTCAACACTCTTCTTCTTCTACTACATGAACTCACGATTTCCCTCGGCAAGAACTTCGAACTTCTCAATTAAACCCTCAAACGAAACCTAATTTTTTTTATAAAAAATAACGAATAATACTCAAATGTTTTCAGATAAAATTAAAATTTCATGAGGGAGATGGGCGATGAAGATGAAATTGGACCGTTAGAGGAATCAAGCCTTTTAAATTTTGATTTTCATTTTTGAAAATTCAAAGAAGTTCTTTTGGTGTCTGGTTATGATGGTTGGGCGAATTTCACTGATCTGATCATACGGGGAACGCGAAGACGACGGTGCGAGGGTGGAAATGTATTTATTGGAAGATGGACGGTTAGATTTATGCGTTGCAGATTTCAACGGCGGAGATTATGATGTCTGGTCTCCGGATCCGGATTCGGTGATTTTTAGTGAAATGATTGCCCTTTTATGTTAATTTAATTACGGAATTTGCCATTATGCTTCGGTTTCTTTTTGTTACGTGGGCGTAGCGCTACTAATAAAATGGGCCCGACGTGGCCCACGTCTTATCAACATCTATTAATTATGGAAATTGGAATTAATAAAATAATTAATATAAAGAAAAATATATATTTATCAAGTGTTAAATATTATCATAAATTAATGAAAGAAAATGAATGCAGAAATATTATTATTTTTTAACTAAATTAATTAATTTAAAATTTTACTAAAATTTAAAAAAAAATTATTAACTAATTATGCTAAAAATATTGAATAGGTATAGTATAACTTCTACATGTGTTTTTTCTTTTTTTTTTTAAAAAAAAAAGAAGTCTAGAATTTATAGGAATTGTATAATTAAAAATTTGTAATGAAAAGTTTTAGTAGTATAATTAAAACCCTCCAATTAAAAGAAATATATATGCCATAATTGTATTAATTATCTAATAAAAAATTGTACATATTAACTATGTAATTGAAGTTATGCTAAAGGCAAAAGTGTCAAATAAATGAAATTGTATTATTTTTTCAAAAAAATTATATTAAAATTACAAGTTTCATATGTTGTAATTTTTACATAAATAACTTGTTTGAATTGTGAAGTATTCAAATCAAGAAGAATTACACTAAATCATAAAATTGTTATAGAGAGATTAAAAAAGAAATAGAGATAATCGTAAAAAGATAAACAGATAATCGAGATAGATGAAATTTCATTTCATTTTTAATATTTTTTCTCTTCATATACTTTATATACGAAGTTACTAACATTACCATGAATATATATAATATGAATTGGGGTGAATAACCATTATAATGCTTCAAAAGGGGACATTTGAATGATGAATAAAATTGGTGTTATGCCGAAATTCAGTCAATGGAAGTTGCTTCAACTAGTGGGAGGGAGAGTCATGGTACATGTAATATAGATACATCTTAAGGCACTAGTTTACAACTTCTGTTTGACTATCTGTTCGAAAATAATACGTTGTGGCTGCGGAAGCTTATAATGAGAATCCTTTAAATTAGAAAAGCTGTTGACAGAAGATGTTAAGGAAGAAAGGATCCGGGTCACTAATAATGATCTCTAGAAGATCATATAATTTGAAAATAGTATCCATGAAGAGGGCTGCGGTTGTTTGAGTTGTAAATAGATTTTATAGTGCCTGAAAATGGAGATACTTTATTAAACGATAAACGACTATGTAAATGACCTCTCTTTTTTGCAATTTAGATAGTCTTTCGATGAAATCTATCGAAATACTTCTCTAAGGTATATGTGGAATAGGTACTGCACTAAATCTCACTTGCATTGTTGACAAACATGACTTTATGTGCATTAATTTGTGGTTGGCCGTCTTGGGAGAGCATCTGTTGCTTAATTCACGGGTCCCTTTTTTGTACTGAATCTCATAATCAAATCCCATGAACTTAGATAACCATTTTAGCTTGCTGTTGGCGGTCATTCTTTGCTCCAAGAGATCCTTTAAACTGTGGTGGTTAGTTTTGATAATGAATCTTCTCCTAGGAGATAATGCTGCTAGTTGTTGACTGTAAAAACAATGATCATTAGTTCTTTTCCATAAACTAATAGTAATTAATTTCTTGGGGAAAACAATTGACTAATGAATGCAATAAGGTATTCTGTTTGCGTTAAGACCGCTCCTAATCCTTCTTTAAAAACATCTAATCTCCACCAGAAATAGTTCGTCAAAGTTTGGAAGAGCCAACACTAGAGCTGTAACTAATGCTTGTTGAGCTTCTTCAGACCACTGAAATTATCCCCACTTAAGCATGTTAGTTAATAGCCTTGTAATGGATCATAATCTCGAACAAAGCTTCTATAATGCACACTGTCCCAAAGGGCCTCTTAGCTGCTTTGGGTTGGCGGTTTGAGCCTAATTCTCTACTGCTACAATCTTCGTTGGGTCAGTGGACGCTCCACCTTAATTGTACCAAAAATAGATTTGCTTCACTTCGCATGTAGTTGATTTTTCCTAAGCTGCATAGAAGTAATTTTTGCTTCACTTCGCA